AATGAACTTTAATGTAGAGTCCCCCAATATTGCTAGTATTAGAAAGTAGTAGTAGTTTTATAAAGATCTAGAAACATCCCTTACTGTACAACCATATCTAACTGTAGTGTAGAGTGAACTAGTAAATTCCAAACCACAGAAAATATTTATAATTTAAGGCCCTGTTCCTGTGAAATGCAGCATACAAATAGACATCTGTGCCTTTGCAGAGAGGCCCATTTAAAAGGTCCAGGTGCATGCTAGGAAATGGTACCCTTTTTGCTACATGCAGTAAAAATACATGATCCAAAAATGAAAATTCATATTAGAACAGTTTCTTCTTCTCTCCTCCTTCTTGCCATGTACCAGTGACAGTTTTTTAGTTCGCTCTAATTTCTGCTTTTGGTTTATTGTGAAACTGCTCTTGAGAATAATTTGAAAGGAGTATTTTTAGCTTGATATATCATTCTTTGTTCGTTAGCTGTAAATATTTAGTGCACTAATAGTGTATGATGTCTGCCAGCAATCTCATGACTAACTGTCACTTTTCACAGAATTATTTTTCTGGGTTTATCTTCCTTTTGCACCTTTAACCAAAATATTCTCTTTTTCTAGAGACATTATAAAGGCACTTTTTCTATTTTATGTATGTAAGTAAGTTTTTGATATGTAGGTTATATTTAAAAAATATACAAAACAAAGCCCAAAAAATTCTGAAACTGTTCTGTCGACCAATAATGATTTTTCCCCCTTCAGCATTATTCGTATAAATGTAAAGCAGGTGGCAGAGTGTAGCCACAGAAATTTGCTAATGGAAACAACTGCACCAAAATTGCTGTGGGCGGTATTGAGGGCTGATATATTTTTATGATAAATTTTATAGTTTTTCCTAACTCCCTAGAACTCAGTTTCCAGAATTTTAATTAGGCCAGCTTTGACCTTCCTATTCCTAATAAATCAAAGGGAGATAGTACAATTTAGTAATAAATAGACTTGGTATAAAATCACAACCAGTAATTCGGGAATAATAATATTATAATTTTATTAATAGTTTTGTACTAATATCAGTATGTTCTTCTGGAGCATATGTTAATATGAGCATGTAGTGTCTTCACTTGTGAAATCAGTTCTTCTGCACACAGGATTTCAGTAACCATTTAATTGTTGCCTTTGAGCCCAGTTTTGCAAACATGCACAGAAGTCGTTGCACTTCTGGACAGACTCCTTCCACCTTTGAGTAAACATCTACCGTCGATATCATTTTATTTTAATTTTTTGGTATAGAGGGTCATAGGTGGTCAGATCAAAGATGCTTCTACAGTATTACTGAAGAAACTGGAGAAAGAGTGGGTGACCTCTTATGAAACCCTTGTGCTATTTTCCTCTTAAATCAGCTGTCTTCTATCATCCTTTCACTTCCCAGGAGTTTCTTTTATCTGTGGTCTCTTCCTGGCAAATGCATTTACATAAGAGAAATGAAACTGTTCCTGTGAATGACTCTGCAGAGTCAGGGCCTAAAACTCATTTTACTCTGTTTTTTAAAAGACAAATGGCTCCTGTTCTGGGAAGACCTGGATTCACTTCCAAGCTCTGCCAAATGCTTCCTGTTTAACACTTGGGGCTGGGTTTCATTCCATTTTTCTATGTCTAAGTGTGGTCTTATTCTGCCCTACCCAGGTCCCTAGAAAACCATTAATATAAGGCATGGACAAATGTTCACTTGAAGAGGTGTCAAAGGGGTGGGGGAGCTGCTGTTTCAGCTACACAGCAGCTGTGCTCTGCTCTAACCACTAGATGCGCAGAAACCTGTAGCAAACCACTGCAAGTGAATGTGCATGCCCATAAAAGGGTCAGTGTGCCCTTGCTGCTTTGGGACTTAGTCTTAAGGGCCAGCTACAGACGTTACACTTTTATCAGTATGAGTGATCAGAAACTAGTCCATACCTGTAAGATAACAGAAGTTCAGCACACAGAAACTGGTTTAAAAATGGCAGAACCAGGTCTAAGATTTGCCACATCCCCCCCCCCCCCCCCCCCCCCAAGGTGAATGTGTGTTTTCCACTTACAGAAGATCACGTAACTTAGATCTGTTCTGCCTCGGGCTTTTTGAATGTCTGTACCTAGCCATAATGAAGATGAAGACACATGAACCCTTTTTTGCAGGGAGGTGGGATCCTCTGGTGAAATGGAATGGGATTGTACACGGACACGGAGATGTCTGATAGGGCGAATGGGCCCTTATCTTTCCGTGCTTCAGGTCCACATCTGTAAAATAAGGTAGTGCACCTTCCCTGCTTCACAGAAGTATTGAGGATCAAATGCATTACAGATTGTGGAGTCTTAAATACAGCTGTATCAGGGGCCATGTCACGTACGTTAACCAGATAAAAAACCAGCGGGGAAGGCTGCTACAAAGAACATTTGTTACGCTATTTATGCTCTAGCTCTTTGCTCAGTCTAATGTGCATTGTCTTTTGGTTAATGCTAGCTAACTTGAATTGGAAATTTTTTTGTTGTTGTTGAGATGAATTTAGCCATTCAGGTAGAATGGGTGTATTTGTGTGTCCTGTGCTGGTCGAGTTAAGCCAGTGGAATGGAAGTGCTCCCCGAGCGTATTTGTAATGCTAAAAGAGCAGGTTCTTCTCTGTAATAAAGCCATATATTTCATGGATTTCTAGGGTCGGAAGAGACCCCCTGCTCTGGGCAGGAAAGAGCACTGGGGTCAACCGACCCCAGCCAGGTGCTTGTCTAATCTCCTCTTGAACTCCTGCAAGGCAGGGGAAAGCACCACCTCCCTTGGAAGCCCATTCCATATTTTGGCAACCCTCACCGTAAGTAATTTCTTCCTGATGTCCAATCTAAATCTGCTCTCCTTCATTTTATGGCCATTGTTTCTAGTAACCCTGAAGGGCACCCTGGTAAAAAGAGTATCCCCTGTTCCCTGCTGACCCCCCCCCCCCCAAATGAGTTTGTAGACAGCCACAAGATCCCCTCTCAGCCTTTTCTTGCGATGAGATTCAGGTCCCTCGGTCTGTCTTCATAGGGTCTTACCTGCAGGCCCTCAACCATACGAGGAGCCCTTCTCTGAACCTTTTCAAGGTTATCCACATCCCTCTTGAAGTTCAGCACCCAAAACTGGACGCCGTACTCCGGTTGCGGCCTCACCAATGCCACGTAGAGGGGAAGTATCACCTCCTTAGACCTGCTCGTGATGCACCTACTAATGCAAGAGAGCGCGGTTAGCCTTACTTATTACCTCATCACATTGGCGACTTGCGTTCGTTTTTGCGTTGACTATGACTCTGAGATCCCTTTCCACTGCTCCATAGAATACATGAGCTTTTGCAAGTGTTTTGAAGATATAATCTATTTCAGGTTTTAAAAATACTGAGCACCTTGATCGGATTGACTGAGACAGAGACATTCCGTTATTTATTGGATTATAGAACACAATTATTTCTTGTTTGAGACCCTGATTTGGGGAGGGCAGGGATGGAGGCACCTCCTGCGCACAAAGGCTTAGTTAAACGATCTGTGTTCACAGGAGATGGATGAGCTAGGATCTGCATATCACGCTGAAGGATGGTTCCTCATAGACAGGAGCCACCATGACCTCCCCTTCCTCTGTCTACAGGAGTGAAGGAAGGGGTTGGGTAGCCACTTCTGCACTGGACAGGTAGAGCCCCTAGTGTGCAGTTTTTACAGCTGTCCTTGCCTAGACTTCTCATGACTTTTCTTCCTTTCTCTCCTGCTGTATCACACCGACTCCTTTGTATATCAGACCCCCATGAGCAGGTAGGATTGGGCCTAAGAGAATATTTTCCAAATAAGTTGTACACGTATGTGACCCCAGGAAGTGGAATCCTGAAAGCTGTCTGGAGTTTATTTTTTACATTTCCTTATCTGTAATCATGTCTACTTCTGCTTTTACATGCTTTGAAAATGTGCACGCTTTCAGCAAACAGGTTTAAAACAAAGCGGCCCTGCAGTAATTGCATTTTCAAATAACCAAAAGAACTTTGCTTGAACACAAGCGGCAAAAAATGTGGATGCCTGAATGCAAAACGTGCTTCTGCGTTGCATATCCTGCATGTTTTCAAATCAGGGGGTGCGAACGAAGCGAAGGAAATAGCTAGGTTTTTTTGATACAGCTTTTGGTTCGGCTATCCCAGTCGGTTGCAGACATGCGCTTTCCCCTGCTGCGTGTGTATACCTATCGTGCTACTAATAGTACATCGCTAGCTCCGTATTACTAGATGGAGTTGTTAAGCGGGTCTCCTCCTTCTACCACAAACATAAACACAGACATTACTAGTAAAACAGAAGCTGTTGAAACCATTTTGGCTGCCGAAATGGGCTCCTGCCACCAGCAGCAGTTGTGCCGTTTTCTTTGCTGACACGTACTAAAGAAAGCTTAATCTCATAAATTATCCAGCATGTGATGTTCTGTCATTTCTCGTCATGGCTGCATTACCGCGCTCAAGATAGTAACACCATATAGAAAGTTTTAAGCTGATTTCACAATTGGCTAAGCTGCGTTTCTTTAAGGGGACTATTAATATGGGATGCTTCCTAACTTTCACAATATGACAACCTGATAGACTACTTGTAAACAGTGGCGTGATTTGAGCATTTCTTTTCCTTTCGGTTGAAATGGGAGCCTCGTTGCTTGTGCTGCTGATTCTTTAGTCACGTTTGCTCCGAACTCGGCATAAAACCATTAATCGTGTTTATGTAATTCTGCTGCTATCAACCCCTGGGTTACATGCTTTCCAGTTAACTCACTCTAGAACAGCCTTTTTTAGCCCTTTTTAAAGGTGTGAATGTTATAGTGACTTAATTTTAATGTTGGCTTTCACAGTAATGAGGACAGAATGGAGTGATGAAACACTGACAGCTTTTACTGTACCTAGAGAGCCTAGGTGAAAGTGGTGAAGAAAATTTTGATCCCACACTTGGAAGTTGTTTATGTGCTGAAAAGATACTGAGTCCTTTTTTTTTTGTTTCTTATGTTTCAACAGGGCAGAGTTTAGGGTATGGATTTGTTAACTATATTGATCCAAAGGATGCAGAGAAAGCCATTAACACTTTAAATGGACTCAGACTCCAGACCAAAACCATAAAGGTAAGACAATACAAAGAGCCTTTTGCTAAATTTAGGAAGAGCAGATAGTAGAGACCCCGTTTTTGGCAATCGCATCGCTATTTTAATCTCCAGTTAAATGGCAAAGCTAACTAGCTCTTGCTCAGAACAAAGGCAAGATATTTGGTAGATGGAATCTTTTTATTTCTTGCAAACTGCTGCTATTTTTATTTGCCAGGGAAAAATGACGTCTTAAAGCCTTGTAATGGGATTTGAAGTTAGGATAAAACAGTCATCCACTAGCGAGAACATTACCTGTAAAACAAAGGTGAAATGCACACTATATATTCCTAAATGACCATTACACACCTTGTTTTGTGCTGATTGCAATTAATTTGGCATGGGATTGTCAAACACTTACTGCCATTTATAACAAACACGCTTCACCCCAGTTTAGACATGCCATTTTTCAACAAATGTGGTAGTCTTTCTCAAGCATTACTCTTCCAATTTCACTGCCCTATGTTTGATCCACTTACTTGAAACCGGGAACCTCAAAGGGACTAGAGAACAGGCTGCAGTCCCCCGTTTGCCATGCTAATATGCCACAAGTTTCTACATGGTTACTTAGTGATCCTAAAAGCAAACTAATTTCTACACTGTCATATTTCTCATTGAATACTTGGTATCGATGGGTGCGATAAATATGCCACAAGAACATTCAGCCTTTCACAAAATGTTCTTTATCCGTACTTGGATAAAAAGGCAATGTCGAAAGTATTAACAGACACACTCACGCACACCCGTGTAAAGCAATTGAAAACCTTTTCATTATTTTGACCATTTTCTTAATTTTGCCCTATACTTACATTTTTCAAACAAAAAGTTGTTCTGGACTGGGAAAATGCATGGACTTGGAAATTTTAATTGAAAAAGGAAGGACAACAAGAATTATTTCAACAGTTTCAATATTTCCTTTTCAAGCAGAGAAATTTGTTAAAACCATGCCTTTCCCACAGCATATTTTGGTTTCCATGAATTGTAGTGTTGCCTGGGGGGAAAAAAAATCATTGAAAACCAGCTGGGACAGCTGACCGGGAATTTTAGACAAGTAGCCTCTTGTTCTGTATGTTGACCTTTCAGAAAACAGATTTGGTTACATATAAAATTGAATCATAGAAAATTCAGGTTGGAAGGGACTTCAGGAAATCATCTAGTCCATCCCCCAGCTCAAACCAGACCATCCCCGACTAGATCATCCCAACCAAGGCTTTGTGTAGCTGGGTCTTAAAACTTCCAAGGTTGGAGAGTCCACAACCTCTCTGGGTAACTTGTTCCAGTGCTTTACTACCTTCCTAGTGAGAGAGTTATTTTTCCCCCTAATATCCAACCTAAACTCCCTTTGCTGCAACTTGAGACCGTTTCTCCTTGTTCTGTTATCTGCCACCGCTGTGAAAATACTCTTTCCAAACTCATCTTGAGGGAACAAGACCATTCCGTATGTACATATTTATTCCCTGTACCAAAATGCTTACAAGGGGATTTTTGCAGTTAAGGTTTTTATGTATTTAATTTATCATGATGCATAGTGTAAAGCAACAGCATCAACTCGTCTTATCAACTGCTACAGATTGCAACTATTAATGCTCAGACTCAGCAACTTATTCATTCCACTTTTAATAAAGTTGAGCTGCAAGTTGATCTCTCTCTAAACCTATCTTAATGGGACAATGGCAAGAGAAAATACTACATTAATAATATTTTCTTACTTGTTTTTTAACTAGTTTAGGTTAGGCTCACGAGAATTTTAAAAATTGGAATTATTTTTTAACACTGTGCATTCACTTTTATGTATACCATTCCATTTGGATACATTAGTTCAACTGTTTTTAGTAAATGTCCATGTTTAATCATTCGGGTTCTTGTGAGCTAGAACAGTAATGTTTGTGTTTCTAGTGCACCTGAAGAACCTTTAATCAGAAAAGAAGATACCTTGCTAGTAAGCATATTATATTTTTGACTCCCATTTAATAAAGTGTTTTAACTTAAAATGATTTGCACCCATTTAACAAATTGTATCTTCAGCAGTAAAAGTTTGTTTTAGCAGGTGCTTGGCCTACCAAATGTGCCCTGAACATTTTGCTGCTGCTTTAATTTTTTTAAAATCTGTTTTAAAATGATATGGGTACAGAGAGTAGACTGGTTTTTGGTTTCTGTTATGCTAATAAATAACACATTGATGACTGATTGAAGATGTGAAATTCTTTTGGAATTTGGAAGACATTTAAAATTCAATAGTAAACAAGGAAACAGGTCTACGATGTACAGATAGGAATTACGTAACCCTTGCAGTGATTAGCAGGACATGTATAGTCTGCAAAACATATGTTTTTAAATAGGTATTTACACAGTCACCTAAATTAACCCAAGGGAGCCTCAGAGTTGAATTGCCAGGCTTTGTATACACAATAAAGTATAAGTGCTTAATGGGCAATTTGCACACAGCTTCGAATTGCATGTATTGCAAAAAAAAAGTGTGGCAAATTGTAAAATGGCATCTCATTAAACCACCCACCCTATCCCACATACCTTTGTGAAGTTTTTCTTTAATTTATCATTTTACTGTATTTAATAATTCTCTTAAAACAGGTTCTTTTTAATGTGTTACACAATCTGGAGACTTCACGGCGTTCATCTTGTTAAGCTGTGGATTGTATGTTTTGAGCATCCATGCCAGTTCCCATGCCGGTTAAATACGCCGGAGGGATCTACCTGTGAATTGCATCTCGGCTTTCCGCTCTTGCAAAGCAGTCACAAATCAGAGTCAACCCAGCTACATTGCCTTTCTTTGGCCGGCACCCCACCCTTTTCCTTGTGTTTCACAATGAGCTGTGGTTTAGGGCAGGGGCATATTTGCTTGTATTGTTGGATCAATGTACAGAATTATAAGAGCATCTAATTGATTCTTGTAGATGCCCTCTAAAAAGCTTTAAAAATGTCATCAGTATTTTAAGAAACCAGATTGAACATACCTTTATTTTGCTGACTGAAATGGCTTGATTTTGTTAAATATTGGCATTAGTATTAAAGATGCAGGAAATGGACATTGTTTTATTGTTTAGGTTTGCTCCAGTCTAAGCTGGAGTCCATTAGGGCCTTCCAGCTTAGACCAGATTGAGCCTCGGGTATGTGACCACGTAAGGTGTTGGTATGTGGCTTCACCTCCCTACATGCCGTCCAGGGAAGGTTACTCCCCTTGGTTACTCTCTACCTATGGGGAGGTGGTAGGGAGGGTGGACTCGTGGCATCTGTCTACGAGACTTCCTCCTTCCCATGCCAACTCACCTTCCTCCTTCCCATGCCAGCTGTTTTACAAGCTGACCCCCTAGGAAACAGAGCCAGCACTCTACCCACCCAGTTGCTTGTCGGCATTGAGTAGAGCTTGTGGGACCTTCTGTGGCTCCAGCCCCCAAAACCAAGGTCTGAGGAAGCTGTGAGGCATTTGGAAGCATGTTCATTCCCACGATTTTGTCACATAAGGCCGGGTACAATGTGCCGCTGAGCTGTGACACATTTTTAAAATGTGAAGGCAGTAGGCCTTATGCAGAGTTAGTGGGCACTTGCATTTGCATTCAGGAAAACCTGCAGCAAGATGTTAACCTTGAAAGCAAACTTTTAATGGGGCATTATCAACTCAACTATAGTCTTTGTAAAAAAAAAAAAAAAAAGGCCAGACATCCAACACTACAAGTCATTGCAGGTCCTTCACCTTTCCCTGCCTCCTACCTTTGCCATTTTCCTGGCTTTCCAGGAAAGTGTCCCCGCGCTGTTGGCCATTCTTCTCTCTCCTGTGAAAGAGCCGCAGTCTGGAGGAATGCTGGCTGCGTGCAGGTGATCCAGCCAGCTGACAAGGCCCGGGCATCTGTCAAATGGACAGAAAGAATAAGCTAAAGAAATCTGTATTTTTTAATTTTTCATCGGTGTTGTAATCAGTAACCCTTTCCTTATCAATAGGAGCCAAACATTTTCTGACGTGTTTTATTATTTTGCTGAATGGTGGGTGCCCTTTTACTCTTTGACGATGACTTTAATCAAGATATCTGGGGAAGGGGCACCGATAAAGGAAATGTTTGTACGTTCACATGCCTAGCGATAGATCTTTTTTAGGTGAGTTGTATTCACACTGAGCTAAGCATAGCACATATTTTAGGAAATGGTTTCTATAGCATTGTAGTCGTTCCCTATGAGGGAAGAGACATTTCCTTTGTAATCACAGATAAAACTTCTGTTCAGTTTGACACAATATTTTGGGTAGATGAAGATGTCACCTACTGAAATAAATCCAGCTGCCTGATATGGGAGCCATTGTGAGAAGGCTAATTTAAGCCCGATGGTAAAGGTTAATGTTGAAGATTGGCTAGAATTTGAGTTGAATCAAATAGCAAAAAGGAAATGAGATGTACAGTGCAGTGCACTAGGTAGGTAGAGATTGCTTAAACACCGCTACTCCAGGGCTGAATCACATGGATGGCGTCTGCTAGGAGGTAGAGGCAATGTTCTGTAATGTCCATAAATGATCAGAACATCTGAACGTTGCTGTCGAGGACACTGGAACAAGGACATTGAAGAACTTGGAAGGGAGGTTGAAATCAGAAGGAAACTCTGGACCACCTGGAGAGCAGCCCTGGTCCTTTGTTGCGTTACCTTGTGAGACATGCCTCCCCGGTTGAAGCGGGCCACACGCTGCCTGCCGTAAGACGAGCAGAAGAGTATTAGGAGAGGATGGAGGCCCTTACCTAGCCAGTCTCTTGTCTGATAGGTGCTGTCATAAAGAACAAAGTTGGTCCAAACTCTTGATTTCTGTCAGTATAATCGAGGTGTTAAATTCCTCCCGTACATAAAGTGACAAAACTCCAAATGAGCAAGACCCCTCAGTGTAGTCAAAGGCTTTCTCTGCATCTCAGTTGACTATAATTTCAGGCTTTTTGGAAATTAATATCGATGATTAAGTATTGATATTTTAGCATTGTCTGATACTAGCT